GGGGGGGGGGGGGGGGGGGGGGGGGTCCAAATTTGCCCATCCTTTGATTCCAATTATCTTGTGCTGAGGTGAAGACCTAAAATAAGAAAAACACCCATTAACATTCAATAAGTACTTGTTTAGTTTTTCGTAGAAGCATAAAGCATATTTTCTCAAAACAGCCGGAGTTTTCACCCAAAAGACGAATATTTTCAAAGAAAAAATGCACTGAAGGATTATGTATGATGCAACCGAAACTATGGATCATATGCTACAGTATACATATAAAAAACTTGCTTTGGTTAGTTATCAGATATGTACGGACAAATCAACAGTCAGAAGCCATCTCATTCAATGATTTTTTCCAGACAAAAAATGTGTTCATCTTAGAATAAAAGTATCTTATAACTTGTGTATACCAAAAATATTTTGATTATAGATGGACTAGGCCCTGAACTACCAGTGAAAAAAATATCAATCCAAAATATGTGGTCGAACATATTCCAGAAAAGGATCAAATGACTATATGATCTATAGATAAATATTCATCACTATATGTAAAGTCTAATCATTAGGATTGAAAACTGACCGAAAGGAAGAAAAAAATTGTTCTAGTTTGGATGGAATGAGTATTTAATCAACAGAGATCTTCGCAACAGAGAAGATATTTGGAAAAGATTCGATGTTTGACTCCTTTTCAAGATGGCCACCAAAACATTCATTGTACTGCCCAATCAGTTGTCAGATTCATAGACAACTATCAATGGAATTCAGAGATTATGTGTTTGTTTTCTACTTTGCTTATACATATATTAAGGTAAGACGCCGTATGAACAGCTGATGACATTTACAGGTAATGTTTTGCAAGATGCAAGAGTATGAAATGTGTTCGAATGGCAGACATTTTTAAAAAAATAAGGAAGAAAAAATTGTGCAAGGCTTTGAGTTTGTTTTCAAACTGGTGATTCTAGATTCACAGAAAGAAACTTATTTCAAGCTTTGTCGGAATTTATTTGCCCTTGGGTGCAACTGTTTTGGATTTTGAAGATTAATATGATAGCCAAGATTATAAAGTATACTTGATGTAGGAGCACACATTCCAATAGTTCTTTGACCAACTTGGCATCGGCAATAGTACTATTTTATTGGGTTATTATCATTTGGTGTCGTGTTCTGAATTCATACGTTATATTTCGTCTGGCCTTTGTGCCTGGAACAAATCTAATAAGGCCTGAGGTCTTCAGATTGCTTATACACCAATATTTCATATTTTTTACGAATTCTGACTTTGCTCCCTCGGAGAGAGTAAGGTTGTTTTCACCTTCTGAGCCAAACAGTTTGTTTTTGTAAGTAGAAACTTCATTTGATGCGCAAGGTCTCTGTCTGTTGTTTCAGTTTCCGGTGACAAATTGGTCCCCGTATCCAATTGAGACATTCAGTCACAATCTTTAGCACTGCCGCAATTATATCGTTGAAGCAATTTGATACTAATTCAGTTCTAAAATTATCCAATGCTTAAGATGACCATGATACAATCCATCGGAATTTAGTAACTGTTCTGTCCATGTTAGCGTGTAGATCAATGTTGGCTCTGACCAGTCTTAAGAAATGAGGACTTACTGGTATTAATACCCGATTTCTCTAACATTGGCAGGACATCTCTAAAGCCACGATCAACAATTACATTGTCGACTTGCTCACACCATGTGAGCTTGTCTATGTTTTTTCCTGAAGTGCCTGCATATTTCGGGCTTCCAGAGAATGGTCCTACAGTGTCCAACATGTAGCCATCAGGTAGAGCTATGCTCATGAATTTAAGATAATTACGCTTCTTCTGGCAACCGTAAGTCATTATCTGAAGCTTATGGTCAGCCCTTTTTTAATATAAATATATGTACCATCTATTAAGGCTGTCACATCGTCTCCAAAGAATGTGTCCGATAAAAAAGTATTTGTGAAAGTGTATGTACTCAAATGGTAAGGACCAAGGAACACTGGAACTACAGATTTATGCAATACTTTTACTACAGAAGGAAGGGGTTTTGAAATACTAGGCAAGGAAATTAAAAAAAGAAGAGAAAACACTTAACTACAACATATATCAGTTGTCATCATAACCCAAAACAGTAAAAGAGCATTTTGTGTAGTTTTGCTAAAGCAGAAAGAAAGTGACAAAGTATGAATGGATTTTGGGAAACAGTTCGTTGATCAACCTGTCCAAGCTCTGCAGTCAGGGTCGTCCAAGAGACAAAAATTGAGAGTGAAGGTTAATTGGTTCTTTGAAGATATACGACATTCTAAAAGGTCATTAATTATTTCAGATGACCGAAACAATAATTAAGAATTCAAACAACCTCTTCCTTATAGTATAACCTGTGTATAAGGGTTCAGGACATTGCCAATAAGAAGAAATGAGAATGCCCTCACCTTTTTGGGTACATAGGGTACTTTGTCGTGCGGAATTTCCACCACTGAATTGTTGTATACATATTTGAAATAACACTACTTCTTCATAGTATAACAAATGTTGGTATACAAGAATAAGAAGAATGAAAAATCCTATATTTTACATTTAAATTTTCACAAATTTTCGATTAAACTCATATTCTGGATGATAAAAATATTATTAAAAAAACTACAAGAAAGAAAAGGTTCTTTTCTAAGTATAACGATGCAAAAAATACGATTTGTTTTTCAGAAAAATACTTTCAGGATGATATTCCATTAATCGACCCCCTTGCTGTAATTATGTTAATAAATCATCTAAATAACTAGTACATTGATTCAAAGTAATAAGATCGGATGAATAAAGGTTTGAAAAGAGTTAATAGAGCAGCATAAATTTCGTAGCATTTCTGAAACAAGAAGAACAAGAATTATGAGGGGGCAGGCTCCTATGTGAATTTAACATAGCTGGAAATAGTCCCTTTTATATGGTGGCTGATATATGACATTTCGTCTTTTCGCTTTGTCGTTATTTCGTTATTTCGTTATTTCGCTCGGCGTTATTTCTCGGGCAACAAAGCGAAAAGACGAAATGTCATATATCAGCAACCATACTTTTACTATCCAGAAATGTAAACACTCGTTTTCAAAAAGTATGACAGAAACGAATGTTTGTAATATATGCATATATCCATGTTATTTGTTTGAACACATCTGATGCTTTTCTGTAAAAATGAAATATAAATAATACATTTATTATATAAAAACATACAGTACGTTGACTCGCAAAGCACTTTTTGATACTCATATTCTTAAACTCATCAAACATTTTGCAACAAGGTGTTTTGTAGTTAGCATAGCAAAGAGCGAAATTATTACAAAACGGGTTACATCAAGCACATGATAATTAGCAAATGCCGTCACAAAACCGTCACATAAGGTAATGATAAAAATATGTTTTTCATTTTATATCATTCAGGCTGCCAAATCGGAAGTTATGGTAACCACAGCTGTAATGATACTTGCCCAGAAAGCTGTTACGGGGGAAACTGTAACGCTATAACAGGATCCTGCTTCTGTGAGTTCCTACTAGACACATATTGAGCGTATTTATAAAGTAAATCTTATTTCGATATACATACGCACTGTACAAGTAAAACGTAATTTTTACAAAGGTACTGGAGTTTGGGGTAACAAGGACTTTTTAATGCTGCAGTATCTTTTTTATCGTACTTTCATTATTTTGAAACATTAAACACCACATCCTTGCACCTTTAAGTAAATATGTGTTAGTGAGTGGCTTAAAATAATCTGTTCCACAAAATACCAGTTTGAGTTCTTTATCGAGTTACATGTACATTGCAGCGCCATATTCGAAATGTGGAAAGTCTCTGACAAAAACAACATATGTAACAAATATCAATATAATACTCATTTATAGTATTTTGACACTAATGTTACCACTTGTTGAAAAAAAACTAAATGTGTAAGAATAATTTACGCCTGACGATGATATATGAATAAGTGGTTTGTTGATATATTCTTCAATCGAATGCTGATATTTAAGGGCAGATCAGTAAAATTAACTACCTGATGTAAACGTTATATATATAAAGATGCATGTTTATGCATGTTAAGTATTACTACATGTACGTGTATACCTTACCATTATTTGCATTGATGTACATAAACGGTCGTATTTTAGTAGAAATTTCTGTATAAGATTCATACTACATTTTGATAATTTGTTTTAGCTGTCAAACCAACCATGCTTGCTTCCAATGCATATTATGTTACTATAGTTTACCCTCAAAACAATTATATTAATATTTACATTACAGATTGTTTCCCTGGAATGTTTGGTGTTTTCTGTGAACAGCATTGCTCTGCTAACTGTAACAACACTTGCGAGAAAGAGTCAGGTCATTGTATAGGTACGTTTGTCGAATTTATTTTGCACGATTTTACCTAAATTTATCTGTTCTTCCTTTCCGTAGTATGTTGATGTATTAGTAGACAGTTCTACAATGTGTTCGAAAATATAATTTCAGACAACAGCAATGCTCATCAAATTGCCGCGAAGCACATGTAAATTAAACTATATCACTAAAACTGATATGGCTATACTTAATACTCAGCAAAGTTTAATATCACATGAATATTTATACTATCTTAATAATATTTGAAAGGGTGGTCGGGTGGCTCATTTGATAGCGCACTCACTTGCTTCCGTCCACGAAACCACATATTTCAGTCTCACAGCATCCCATATTTGAATCCATAATGCTCGGATTGCTTTTATTTCTCTGCGTCTGATTTTATTAGTGCAAATATATACCTCCATGAGCATCGAGGTGTTAAGCAATGTTTAGTAAGGTATTTAGATCATAATGTATTAGAAAACACGAATTCAGCCGCAGAATTGAAACCATTTTACGCGTATAGATAAGGATAACACATCACGTTTTACATGTCAGAGTGAACATCATATAAACGAATGTGGGTCATTTCGTTCCCTGATATTTCGTCCCTTTTCAAAGGAAATTGTTTCCTGTATATAACATACATGTCAAAACAGAAAAGGGCTATCTTCAATTTATAAGAACATTAATACGTTTAGATATGTGGTATATGTATATCTGCGATAGCTGAAGTCTGTGTTTCTGTTTACCTTAAGTAGAATTATAGTGTGATCAAAACTCTAATATATCAACCTGTGGATGTTAAGATCTTACAATATGCCTTTAGATTATAATTGGATTTTTAGGATAACCACTCAAACGCTGTTGATTGCCGAAATTGCCAACTGTGCGGCTTACGTAATATCCTGTTGTGTTTGTTACTGGTTGAATAGTTCAGTCGGATTAGAAAATATCGGGGTAAATAATAAGAGGTATGTCTGACCTTCAGGAGTAAAACATTATCCTTCTAGAAAACCTTATTTACATCCATACATTTCTTTATGGTAATTTCTATATATTGCTTTCTTTGTTTGTATCTTATTTCCTTTACTTATTATTACTGTTTTCGAATTCCGCTTTATTTTTCCCACAGTCACTAACGATTTCCTCATTCATGACTCATTGGTTTAACCTGCTAGGATGTCATTTTCCATTTAGAGGTAATGTTTAATGGCAATTGTTTCACCTATCGGAAACACATATGATGTATTTTCGAAGGGAAAAATGTGTTTTTCAGATTTAAACACGAATATTATGGTAGAAACAGGTATCAAAACTCGTGATGATTAGTTATCCTCTTTATTTAACTCTCGTTAGTTAATTTTCAAATTGACACTCGATTAACTCACTCAAGTCAGATACACATGATAAGCATCCCTCACTCGTTTGGGAAACTCTATTAAATTCAACTGACAATTTGTGTCCTTCTTGATATAATCCACATGTTTTAATAACCTTTAAAAACTCACTTTTTAGGATGCAAACCCGGACAAAAGGGGGACCTGTGCAATGCTAAATGTTCACCGAATTGTGTGATATGCGATCAGACGTCCGACCAATGTTTTGGTAAGATATGACAATACACACGTTTCAATTAAATTTTCTTTGCTTGCTTTGTTTTTTTTATTTTTTTTAAATATGGTCTCTATTTAAGGACTCTTGCCGTTCTGTCGGGATGTTTTTTACCTGAGCACCTTTATTTTACCAGACATATGGCTTCATTTAGATAATGATAACTATTGTACAATCGAGCGATTTTGTAAACACGTTTTCCATTGTTCAATTGTTGTGATTGATTGTTAATCATATAATGAAATAGGACAGTTAGCTCTTATAACAATGTAATGCTGTGTTTATAATCTCTTTGCCAAATAGGTGGGGTTGTTTTTTAAATGTAAGTGATAGCATGTCACATCCGTGTATTGCAGTCTGTGTTAACGGAAAGTACGGAGACGACTGTGAGCAGGATTGTTCTAACAACTGTAAGAACAGATCGTGTATGAAGGAAAATGGATATTGTCTAGGTAATTAGCGAATATAAGTTTAATGTAATGTCATATTGCAAATATTTATAAAACATATCGTTTTCCAGATATTACCTTACCTTTAGCGTTTTATTATGAAGATGACAAATTTAAATAATATCTTAATAATTACTGTAAAAATAAAAAGGGCAAATCGACTTAACAATAAAAAAAAACTACAAGAAAGGAGAGAGAGTAATCAAAAACGCATGTTGGAAGGCACAGTAATATCGACTGTGCTTCTGAATTTCCACGACTACAGAGCCTCTGTGTTTCTATCTAACATAAGACAATGTCATTTTCTAGATGTAATCTATAAGGTATAATATGCTTATATTACAGACTGTGTAAACGGAAAGTACGGGGACATGTGTGGCCAAGATTGTTCTGACAACTGTAAAGACCATTCATGCATGAAGAACAATGGGTCCTGTCTCGGTAATTAGAGTATAGACTTTAGCAGATATTAATTCTGTGGAATATCGTATTGTTAACACAATATTACACAGTAGTATTTAACATGAATATTTTCGGTGAAAATCTTATAATGAAAAATCTCCTAAAATATTTGTTTGGAGATGATAAATAAACATAGCTCTATATTTCTCTCTTTCTTTTATTAGGCAAATGTTTACATATTCAATACCAAAAAAAACAAATCGAACTTATTCTTAAATGTATCAGAGTATAGAATGTTTGATATTGATATTTTCTTCCTTTTTAAAAGAATGTATTACTGGAAAGTATGGTAATGATTGTACAACTAATTGCTCTGACGACTGTAGAGGCAAAACATGCATGATGAGCAATGGACATTGTATAGGTAAGCAGTATATTATATACAATTTCTTCGTGGTTAACATGACAACAAAAATATTTTGCAACATTCATTAAGTACCGTCAATAAATCATGCAAACAAAATGTATATACACGCTAAGTGTATATATCCTGTCTATTCTAAATTTTAAATCAAGGCGTTCAACATCACACTCCTTAACTATTGAGTGCAGATGTTATTTATTTCAATTGACATTGTCATTGTCCTTAAATCACATTGAAACAAAATGAGACAGACATATCTTATATAAAGAAATAACTCTTATCTCATGTCATGTAGTACATGTACATTTTCAATGTAAATAAAAACTTACTAGATGACTTTTAAGACGACAGTGGATTTTGTGCAATGGAAAACCCGATTTGAGTGTGAGGGCCACCGTGCCATCAAACGGCGGATTGCAAAGTCGAAACCTATGCTTTATTTCACAAAGTAAAGTCGACTGCGTGTCGGAATATTCACAGTTACTGATGCACTTCTGTTAATACTTGTAATTGTTTGTTGATTATTTCAATTTTTTTTTCTTCACAATACGTGACATACTTTTGAAATGTTATTAATGCAATAAATGTGTTTATTTAACAGAATGCATCAATGGGAAGTACGGGGACGTGTGTGACAAAGATTGTTCTGACAGCTGTAAAGACAGATCATGCATAAAAGAAAATGGATATTGCCTAAGTACCGTAATTAGTATACACCTAACGGGTACAAATACTGCACCATGAAAGTTATATCTGCATGTCTATATTTCCTACATATAACATTTAACGATAAAATTATGAAAGCTATAAATAGATTAACGTTTGTTAGATTATGGCAATACTTACTAGCACACTATTAAAAGGGTTAA